TGTTTTTCGCTAAAATTCACTCAATTTTACGAAATAGTTAGAATAGTTACTAACGTCTCAAATAGTTAAATATAGTTAAAATAAACTTTCGTTAAACTGACCCCCAATACATGATCGGTTCACATCCTGAGTCTGGGGCTAATACTATTAACTGCTAAAAATAGTTACTATAGTTAAATGCAATTCCCTGATTATAATTTATAATACAATTTTTATTGATAAATAGTAATCAAATTTTGAAAAATCAAAATTCAAAATATATAAAAATTTAAATAATCTAAATTACAAAAATTGAAACTATGTTATAATTTGATTATTTTTTTGTTGTACTTTGACTCTCGCTTTCAGTAGAAGATTGTTTCGCTTTCAAAGCGTCGAGTTTTGATCTAATCATCTCTTTTCTTAACGCTTTCTCTTCTTCCGGATCTGATATCAAACAAAACCAAATGAGAAAAACACAGATCACGACAAACACTATGAAAACGACCACAAATACGGCGACAGCTAATTATTGGTTAATAATTGAATTAATAAATAACATTCTTAGTAATTACTAGTGGTTTACAACCAATTAAAATATAATTCTTATAGTCTTTCGTAGGCGTGCGAGAGGTTTGTGACGGGAATGTCAATTGTGTTGTATCGGGAGATTCAGTGGTCACAGCAATCGTGGGTTTGGGTGTAGTCGGCGCCGGTATAGTAAGCTCTTTGAAATTAATGACATCATATTTTTTGATGTCTTTACTAAACTTTTGCCACGAATTCAATTCAGTATTCAAGAAATTTTTGTAGTAATTATCGCGACATTTATAAAAGCGTTGAATTATTTTTTGCCTTAAGATTCCGTACTCTTTCCAAAAGAGATAATTGTTTTTGACATAAATCTGATCCCCGTTTTCATCGGTAAAACCCGCGTCCAAATTGTCCGGAAGTCCGACACTATTGAGCAGAGTTTCGTCTTTAAACACAAACTTATCGCTCAAATCCTTTGAAAACAATTTCCTTTTATCGCCCTTTAAAACAAATGGCAATTAAATTATAAATTAATTAATTTTATAAACTATAAAATATAAAAACACAAACTTTATATAAATAGCATTCACTGTAAGTGCGGTCACAATGGATGGCATCCAAAGGGTATTCACTATTAGGGAAAAGAGTCGAGAGTTGTTTCCATTGTTTCGATTCATTCTTGTTATCCGAAAAAGCGGTGAATTTGTCTCCTTTTACGACAAAAATCTCTGATTTTATTGAATCGACAAAAACTGTGTCAATGTTTCGCAAATCCGATATTAAATATTCAATTCTTTGAATTTCTGGATGTGTTTGACTTAAATCCCATTTCCAGTAATAATTGCCACTAAATATATAGTAAAACATCTCATTTATGGGAATCATTGCATCGATCGCTGCATTCAAACAGATATCCGACGGACAGCCAAACCAAACACTGTTTGACTGGAAAACAATGACATCGATTAAAATAATTAGAGCTAAATTCTCTTAAAACAACATACACTATAAATTGATAGTCTTTTATGAGTTGTAATCATTGTGTTATTGAATTCAAACTCAAACAATGCAAACATATTTGTGTCAAAACATAGAAATAAGTGACAAATAAGTGTTAATCCATTAATTGGTTGTTTCGTACAGTCTTTGATCAGAACTGACACTACATCTGCCTTCACAGTCAGTGGTGTTTCGATGACATTCAAAGTCTGATTTTGCTGTGAGTTATAAATCCTAACAAATGATCCGTTAATTTGAGTTATAATGAAGACAAACACACACTGAGAGTGAGGGCACTTAAAAAACGCTACTTTCTGTATGGAGAGAGAGAGAGAGAGAGATTCAGTGGTCACAGCAATCGTGGGTTTGGGTGTAGTCGGCGCCGGTATAGTAAGCTCTTTGAAATTAATGACATCATATTTTTTGATGTCTTTACTAAANAGAGAGAGAGAGAGAGAGAGAGAGAGAGAGAGAGAGAGAGAGAGAGAGATTAATAAGGATACAAATATGATGTAAACTAACCATATGCTGCCTTTCATAGATTGTAATTTTTAACAAAAACGGGTAATTCATTTGAAAGTCAGAATTGGTTACTGATGTTTGCTGTTTGACAAACATATTGCCAGTCAATTGAAAATTAATAATGACAATGGATTTAGTAATTATATTCCAAAAAAGCATATCCACTGAATTGTCAACCATCGAGGCGTCGAGGAATATATAATTTGGATTAAAAACAAAATATTTTGTTATATAATACGAGGCCATCGATCGCTTCGGGTCGATGTCCATCACTACCCGATTTGTGGTCGCATTCAACTTAATGCTAAACACTATATCCACTAAATTCTGTTCGCTTTGAAATGACATAACCGTATGGTTTGGTAACCCTATGATTGCTTGAGGTGTTGACGAGTACTGAGTCAAGATTTGCCGACACGTACTATACATTCAAAACAATTGGTGATTGGTTTTCATTTTAAAATGAATTTTTTTTCAAAATTAAACTACAATTTAATGAATACCTGAGTATATGATTGTCGAAAGCGTTGTCACAAACGTGTGATTGAATTCCGCATACAATCACTAGAAATGCTATGAATATTGCATTCATTTTTTGTTTTTATAATAAACTAATCGTTAATAAGTTTTGCTTTTGAAACACTTTTACTTTCAAATTCAAAATCTATTTGAATATGAAATTTATATGAATTAGAAATACGTTATCAAAAATTCAAATTTTACAATAAATGTTTTGTGTTATAAGTTGTAATTTATAGCCAAGACAATAATATAGTCAAAATTTTATGCAATATTAATAACAATTGGTATAGATATTACACAAGACATGAAAATTACAACTAGTATCAATTAATTACATAAGTCAGTAACATTAAGTCTTAATATATAAATTAAAGTAAAATAATTTTTTAATTATGAATTTATTTATAATTACAAATCAAATTTTGAAAAATAAAACAAACAAAATAAATAGAAATTAAAATAATCAAAAATTAAAACTATGTTATAATTTGGTTATTTCTCTTTTCGTTGTACTTTGACTTTCGCTTTCAGAAGACGATTGTTTGGCTTTCAAAGCGTCCAGTTTTGATCTAATCATCTCTTTTCTTAACGCTTTCTCTTCTTCCGGATCTGATAGCAAACAAAACCAAATGACAAAAACACAGATCACGACAAACACTATGAAAAAGACCACAAATACGGCGACAGCTAATTATTGGATAAATTATAAAATTAATAAATATTATTTTCAGTAATTACTACTGGTTTACAACCAATCATAATATAAGTCTTATATATGTCTTTCGTAGGCGAGGGAGAGGTTTGTGACGGGAATGTGAATTGTGTTGTATCGAGAGATTCAGTGGTCACAGGAGTCGTGGGTTTGGGTGTCGTTGGGATAGGAATGAGAGGCTCTTTGAAATTAATGACATCATATTTTTTTATGTCTTCACTAAACTTTTGCCACGAATTCAATTCAGTATTCAAGAAATTTTTGTAGTAATTTTCGGGGCATTTAAAAAAGCGTTGAATTATTTTTTGCCTTAAGATTCCGTATTCTTTCCAAAAGAGATAATTGTTTTTGACATAAATCTGATCCCCGTTTTCATCGGTAAAACCCGCGTCCAAACTGTCTGGAAGTTCGACACTTTTGAGTAGAGTTTCGGTTTGAAATACAAACTGTAAAATGTTTGACTCCTTTTTATATGATCTTCTTTTGTCGCCCTTTTAAACAAAACATAATTAATTTGTAATAAAATTCATTTAATGTAATAATCGATTGAATAAAAACTCAGACTTTATATAAATAACATTCACTGAAATTGCGATTACAATCGATGGCATCCAAAGGGTATTCACTATTAGGGAAGAGAGTCGAGAGTTTTGTCCATTGTTTTAATTCATTCTTGTTATCCGAAAAAGTGGTGAATTCGTCTCCTTTTACGACAAAAATCTCTGATTTTATTGAATCGACAAAAAGTGTGTCAATGTTTCGCAAATCCGGTATTAAATATTCAATTTTATGAATTTTTGGATGTGTTTGACTTAAATCCCATTTCCAGTAATAATTGCCACTAAATATATAGAAATGTGTTTCATTTATGGGAATCATTGCATCGATCGCTGCATTCAAACAGATATCTGACGGACAGCCAAACCAAACACTATTTGACTAGAAATACAATCATTAAATAGAGCTAAACTTTCTAACAAACAAATACCCTATAAATTGATTGTCTTTTATAATTAATCCTTTGGTCATTGAATACAAACTCAAACAATGCAAACATATTTGTGTCAAAACATAGAAATAAGTGACAGATTGTTAATCCATTATTAGGTATTGTCGTACAATCTTTGATGAGAACTGACACTACATTTGCATTCAACTGTGTTTTAGTGACACTCAAGATCTGATTTGGCTCTGAGTTATAAATCTTAACAAACGGTCTGTTATTTTGAGTTTTAATGAAGACAATCACACACTGATAGTGAGGGCACTTAAAAAACGCTAATTTCTGAGAGATTGAGAGAGAGAGAGAGAGAGATTAATAAGGATACAAATATGATGTAAACT